GAGATGCATAAAAAAGCATTTTAAAGAGGAGACTCTGTACTTTCGTACGCTTTTGATCCCAATAAGCTACAATTTTTTGTTTATACCGTGCACCGTCGCAAACTCGAACCATTATTTTTCATTTTTGCATGCTCGCGCTTTGTCATCCGCCATTTTCAATAAATTTATTTTGCAACATTGAAATAAATTGATTCTTAAAGTAGAGATTTTTAGCTTCATTTCCATATTTTATAGAACTTTCTATCTTTATTATTTACGAAGTTATCGTCAGTTGAAATTTGATGAATTTTTCCCACATTTTCAGTGTACCGCTTTTTTTTCGGGTGAGTGTATATATGTGTATAATTACCTCGCTTTTTTGCCTTTCTTCTTGTCGTAACGTTGTGGTTCAGAATCACTGGAATCGCTAGAACTCGTACTCTTACTCCTGTGCTTTCTTCTTCTCATTGAATTACTGAGAACACTTCTAAGAGCTCTAATAGATCGTCTAACTGGCTCTACATTAGCTTGAAACCTATCTACAGTAGGCTTTTTTTGACGTAAGCTGTACTTTCTAGGCCCAGGAGAATCCGATGACTCGCTCAAATCAGTATCCACAACTGTTTACACAAATAAAATATATTAGATATATTGTTTCTCAGAAGAAAAAACTATGCCTTTCTTATGCTACTATGTTGCAGTACTACCTCTTGGTAATTGCCGTTGAGCCGTACGTCTTGTTCTTTTAATGCGTGTATACATGTCTTCATATCCCTGTAAAAAATAATGAAAAAAAAAAAATATATATATATAAATTTATAGACTGCTATTTAATATATAAAAAAGGAGCTACAAGAATTTGCTTACGTCTTCGTTTTCAGAATTATCATTGTTATCTGGCTTTTCACTTTCTCGCGAACTATCCACGTCTGCTTCATCCTGTTCTGTTTTGGGTTTTTCATTTTTTTCACCTATACTTCCGCATAATCTGGTCACAGGACCTTCTCTAAATCTGCTTGGGCTATCAGACTTTCTTGTCCTGAAGAACATTATTACTTAAATTACATTAAGTTCCCTTAAATAATACACAAGTTTTAACAAATTACATGCCTTGTTTCTTTTTCTTCATTTGTTGGCCTTGTTTGTTCATTAATATCCTTCTCCGGCTCTGTCTTTTCTTTAAGATCGCGATCAGGTCTAACTCTAAGTTCCCTGCTATTTTGTCGTTCATGTTCTGTTCTGTCTCTAAGATGTCTTGTCGGGTTTTTATTAGGTGGATGATTTTCACGAGATCTTAAAGGCATTCGATCTCGAAGATCGCGCTTTCTATCAGGGACATCATCTACTATCTCTTTGTCTGAGGAAGAAGCATGTTGTTGAAACATAGGATATCCTTTTAACGTTTGTGTTCCTGTCGATTTCAATGTTGATCATTAGAAAGAGTTACAATTATTAGCAAATAAGAATATATCATAATTACAATATGTGTTAATTATATGTTTATGTATATTATGATTGATTAACGTAAATTATGATTGATTTATTGTACCTAGAATCCAACTAGTATTGAGGTTGTCATAAGTCTGCATTCTATTACGTGTACTACGACGTACACTTAAATTATTTCTAGTTAGAGGTGAATTAGAGTTAGAATGCGACCTCAGCTTTCGCAAGCTCTTGGATCGTCTAACATTCGAGTCCAAGCTGCGATTGCGAGGAACAAATATTTCTTCCTCAGTGTCCATTGAATCCAATGCAGCATCATCATCTGACATTATCTATAAAATATTGACTTGATAATTTTATTCTGCAACTCACTTAAGATGTACATGTACACATTTTTAACAATATAAACATTTATACTGTTATTTATATGCTGTATGTAAAAATAATTTAAAAATAGATCAAACACACACATACATATACATAGAAATTTTCACAAAAGTAATAAGATGACAAAAGATACTTTTAATCTTTTTAAATATACTAATCCTGATTAATTCTTATTTTTAAATCTAAATAAATATATATAAATGTACAACTGTAGTTTTGATTATTCCATTAAGACACTTTGCAGATGCTTTCATTGTGTTAGTAAACAGCGTGACCAAAAAAGATAAAGACAAGATGTGGAAAAATTATTAAAGAATATCTTAATAATCCGCGAAATTGCAATTAAAATTTATGCAATCAAGTTGCATTGTAACACATTTAAGCGAGAGAGGAATCGGTGGCAAACGTCTAACAACAAACAAACAGAACGCCATGCACGTTATCCATCTCTGAACTTTTGTAATCTTTATCCTTTATACACATTCCTGGGAATTATGCTTCACGCTCAACGAGTACAGCGATAATTACCTTCATTTGGCCAATTTTTGTTGCCGATGTGCGATTAAACCATGAAAATTGTTAACGTCCGTCATATGCGTGTTGGATAATGCTGCACTGCATTCACGATCGCCAGGGATTGTCCTTTCGTAGCAGCACACACACACTGATGGAATAACCGTTTTCGCGATCGAATATCGTTTAACCGAGCGCACTGACCGTCACCGTCAAATAGAGAGCCACATAATCGACGTTAGTACACTTCGAACGGCATTAAAGGAGCGAGACGACCTGAAGTGACTACACTTACAAAATCCGTATCATCTGTATCCGTACCACGCATACCCCACTTCTCTCCGTATGTGTAACTATATAAATACATGCGTCTGCTGTGTATAAAGCCCATCGCGGTGAACTCAGCTACGTGTCGACCAGTGCAACCGACAACTCAACCAATTGAGAAGCACGCCCTTTTTATGGTCTATCCATATACACTTGCATAATCACGTATACAACTTTCAGATAAATCGACCAATCATATGTCTAATAAAGAGAATGCCATAGTGTTTTATTCTTTAAATTAGACGTATAATTGGTCAATCTTTTGTGTCTTATTGAATTATGCAAGTTGCGTTAGACGTTTACAGTAGGCGTTTATTAATGTCTATCGTTTCCAGTTTAGATATTTCCGGGTCAAATGTAGCATATTTACACGTCAATACATTAGAATCGTATGTAATACTTCAAATATTTGACATATAAAAAATATAAAAATAATAATAAGCTATATAATATGTTAATCAATAAAGAAGTAATTTTTGTGTTTTCAAACAACAGTCATGATATACGGATTCTAGATTTATGATTTTCTATTATATACACAGAGTTTACGAAAAAAGAGAAATGTAAATTGGTTATCATGTATTATTTCTTAATATTCTGTTTGTTGTAAGAACTGTTTGTTGTAAGAATTGTTTAATATTAACTGATGACAGATATAAGTTAATTATCCGCTAATTATCTAGCGTGATCGCGAACAATAGCGATGTTCTTGCATTATGTGCATAAAAAAGGATTTTAAGAAACTATTCCTTTTTTAAATTATCTTACAAAAACTGTCGATTCAGATAGGAGTACGTTTATAGAATATCGCTATCACATTTACTATCGTATCTGGATCGTGCTATCTAGATTTCTGTGGTTAAAGATGCTTCTACAGTTAAAGTAGTATATGCTCTAACTGTACTGTATATTGATATTTATTGACAGCCGCTGACAGTTGAGTGCCAAACTTTTGAGGTTGGAATGCGGAATAAAATCGTCGATAGCATATAACTTAATTTATAATTTTAAAGAATGATAAAATGTAAATCTACTCTGTGGTGACAAAATCGACCTTGTTACAGTTATTGAATGACTCGAAGATTCTAATTGATGCTGAGTAATTTCCTTGACCCTATGCTAATATGAAGTAAAGATTTTAATTACCCAGTAACGGCAGATGGTGATTACTTAAAAAAAAAAAAAATGAAGTTGGAATTACAATGAATAATAATTATGCTGAATACGTATAAATAACACATCACTGTCTGAGTTAGCAACAGTGAAATATGCAGGTGCTTCCCATGAAGATGTTTGACTTTGGATTGTTTAATTAGTTAATTTGTCCTATACTTTTTTTTATATTAATCTCAACATGTTTTCTATTGTATACAACATCTGGCCAATGCTAGAGGATATTATAGGTAAATATACTGTATTAAATAACTCTTGATATATATATCACTATTTATGCTATCTTAACATTTATTTAATTTTTATAACGTTTATTCATTGAGCATGTTTAAATATAATGCTTTTTATCTGTATGTATAGATTTTGTAGCCTTGCAATTTTTATATTGAAAAAGATCTTATGTTTTGATTGAGATCTAATAACTTGGAAAGAATTTATTTTGTGATATTTTCAGTTGAATATACCGATGTGGACTTTACATGGTTGTCATGGCTCTTAATGCCACTTATTGTAACATTTTTACTCCCGCTTGTGATTGTGCTGCTGTTCTATTTAACTTCTTTAATATTATATGTCTACAAGTTACACAGGTTTGAAAGAAATATAATTTATCAGCTTTATTGGTTGTAATGCAATTAACACTTATCGCAGTAAATATTTAAAACTATTGAGGTTCAATTACTGTAACAAAATAATTTCCAAAAATGATGCAAGAATATGCATTACTCAGCAAAATTTTTTCTTGCTAAAATTGTCTATGTGTAAAATAATTTTTCTTTATTTAAAAAAAATATTTTATTCCTTTTAGAGTTAGATTAAGAACCGCTTATGGTACTGCATGGCGAGATGCTGCACGATATACAACTGCAGCTATCTGGGATGCACACGGTTGGATCTGGCATGGTATGTTTTAATTTAATAAATTGTTTACAAAATTGTACATTTAAGTTACATTTAAATCAATCTTTAAATTTTTCATATAAAAGTATTAATAAAATATGTACTTTTTTTGACAGGATATGAAATTGTAGGCTTAGAGAATATTCCGCAGGACAAACCAGTTTTGTTTATATATTACCATGGAGCTATTCCAATTGATATATATTATTTTATGTCTAAAGTATTTCTATTTAATTCAAAACTAATCCACACAGTAGCTGATCGATTCCTCTTTAATGTCCCTGGATGGTCCATAATCCTCGATGTTTTGAAAGTAATACCTGGTACAATTCAAACATGTTCTGCTGTATTAAAAGAAGGAAATATGCTTGCTATTTCACCGGGCGGCGTATACGAAGCTCAATTTGGGAATTCTTACTACAAACTAATGTGGAAGAAAAGAATGGGTTTTGCAAAAGTTGCTCTGGATGCCAAAGTGGTATGTTTCCATAAAATTTTGTATTCTTTTATTTGGTTTTTACTTTAATGATTGACTTGTTCTTATTAGAGTATAATTCCCATATTTACAAAAAATATCAGAGAAGCATTTAGAACGATAAGTTGGGGAAGAAGGATATGGTTGAAGATTTATTCCTGGACAAAGGTTCCTTTTGTACCCATTTATGGAGGATTTCCAGTAAAATTGATAACATATGTGGGTAAGCCAATTCCATATGATGGAAATCTGACACCTGAAGAATTGCAGATAAAGGTAAATAGTTATAAAGAAGATAGGAAACATAATAGACATGTTGTATAATTTCTAATAATATCAGATATGTTTAGAAAATATTTAAATATTATTTTAGGTTGCTGATGCTCTTAAAAATTTAATAAACGAACATCAAAGAATACCTGGTAACATAACATGGGCATTAATAGAAAGAATGTATAAGACAAGAAGTTAGAAAAATTAGTGATAACCTTTTTATCGTACTTAACAATTAATGCAATTATATTAAAATATACGTTAGAAATTATTTTAGTCCAAATTGATTGGACTTATTTTAGGTGTTACGAAAAGAAGAATATAGTAAAAATGTTCTATTTAATATAGATTTTTTAATATTTATATTATTTTTATAAATTTATTTTATATTTGTACTTAAATGTGGTTGGTTTTATGATATACGATTTATTTATAAATATGTGATGTATACAAATAGTATATGATATGAAATAATTGCATTGTTTGCATATTTTAAGTATAAAAATGTACAAATGTTATTTTTCAACAATTCTATACGTTCCTATTTTCTATTACACTGCATTCATACACTTACATAATAACAATCTTTATTTTATTAAATAATTTATTATCTTTGTATAAAATTACAATAAACAATTAATTTTGTTACATTTTAAAATAAATATTATTAGTAATTTATTGATAATCGATATGAGAATTAACGAGGATTTATGATTTATTAAAAATAATTATAAAAATTGACATAAACTTTACTTAATAAAATAACCATTATTTAATAAAGTAGTTAAAATAAATTTAAAAAAATATAAATTAATGTAGATTGATATATATTACAGTTCTACATTATTACTTTCTTTTACAATTCAGTTTTTCCTATAGCTTTTTCCAATTTTCTTTCTACGTTATCATTGACTTGTACCACTTGCTTGATTTTAGCAAATTCCGGAGAACGCTCCATCGCGTCCTGAATACCAATTATAGAAGACGCGATTAGACTCTTGCCATTGAAAAAATTAGAACATGATTAGGCGTTCTCTAACCGTTGAAATTGGAGGACATAATTAGGTGCTTTCTGGCCGTTGAAGGACGTGATTAGGCCGTTGAGATTGAAGTTTTTACGCTTATGCTAAGCTTCTGATTGGTTACACGGTTACGGCTGTACCATGAGATCTTACCTTTACTTTTAGGGTCCCTAGTTTAAGCATACGATATAAGTGAGTTGTCACACTAAAACAGCCGCATTCCCAATGACCAACGCTTGCGCCGTGCTGTTTCCCCGTGAAAGTTCTTTCACTCACAAACCTCACGTAAATCTTTTCCTTCCTGTGAATACCGTTGTGCACCGGAATAAGGTTCTTTCCATTGCTCGCGGATCTTCCGTTCTACACGCCGCGTAACAAAGCGGATCACTACAGAACCGGTTTCGTCAATTCCAGGACCAAGTGTAATTAATCCTTTACCGTCCTACAAAACTTCATGCACCAACATGAGTGATTATTCAGCGGTTGCTCCGCCTCAAAACTTAAGTCAAAGCACCGCGTTCGCAGCGGCATTGCAACGTGCCAAACAGGTAATTTTAAATCCGAAAATAGCATACCGATGATAATCGTAAAATTAGCGGTCGATAAATAAAGCATGCGTATCGTTTACCCGCCAAGATCGAATCTTCCAGTTTTTTTCCTTGAGGAAAAGCGTCATGTCATTTGTAACATACGAATTTGCGGCTTTCTTGACATATATCTTTTGTATTTACTACATTTAAATTTTATTTATGCGCGAACGCGTGTGTGTGTGTCACCTTGTGGCAATAAACGATTAAATTAGGAAAAAGAAGTAATGTACGACATACATTTTTACATATTTGCAAATAATTTTTCCAGAATTTATACTTTTATTTGATCTTTCCAGATTGCCGCAAAAATAAATCCAGCTGGTGCGCAAAATAACCAGGATTCTAAACTGAAACGTCCTTTAGAAGATGGTTCAGGTAGTGTATATATATTTAACGTATATCTTCTATTTTATTATACAGCGGCTGGTGATTTATTGGTTAGATTACATTTGTTAGTTTACAATTGTTAAGATTGTTATATTTTATATTTTTAGAGCCTGAGGCAAAGAAAATGGCATCATTAGTACCAGATCCTTTGCTAAGCATTCGTGGTGGACCTGGAGGCAGTTCTATTGGAGATTCAGGTAGTCAAGGATCTCGGCCGCAAGTTTCTTCCAGTCTAAGTGGTATATGCAATGAAGATATCAGAGTTCCAGACAAGATGGTTGGTTTAAGTAAGTTAAACTGGAAGAAATTACTGTCCTACTTTTTTATGAGTATATCTTGTGTAACTCATATTTTATAGTATGTTGTATTGTGCTCTATGACTATTTGAAAAAGAAGTTACTGTTTTACAATATATTTATTTTCTATTTATTGATTTATCATATATTACACATGTATATAAATTTGATGGTTTACATATTGTTATCTTTTAACACTAATCACACATATTATTTCTCAGAATAATTAGTTAAGTATAATTTTTGTTAATTATTTGTAGTTAAAATACAGTAGTAAAAACATTTTATATTATGAATGTACACATACATAATTACTTTTGAGTAATAATAATGTATTTACAGTAATTGGCAGAGGTGGAGAACAAATAACAAGATTGCAGAGTGAAACGGGGTGTAAGATACAAATGGCACCAGAAAGCGGTGGGCTACCTGAGCGTGTTTGCACGCTAACTGGTTCACGAGAAGCCGTCAAGTAACTTGTTTTTCCCTTCTTATTTTAACTATTTTGTATGCAATGCAAATCATATCATAACTTTATAAACACGTAATGAATGATAAGGATTTACTTTTGTTAGTTGACTTTAAATGTATATATTTTATCTTCTATTGAAGTGAAATATAATTGTTGATTCAAATTTTACATTTATAGACTAGGTTGTGAAAAATATTTTCCTGCAGAAATTGTTTATAAATCAGCCAAGCAAATCTGCTATCCTCCTTTAAATTTATATATGGATACCTTATTCCAAGTTATTTGAATACAAATTTTTACCACATTTTCATTGTGTCACTGCCCAAAAACAACTGAACAATTATTCCATATCAAACTGTGATGCTATGATAATATATATATTGCAATGCTTTACTTATTAGAAAATGTGATTGGGACACATTCTGACAACATAGCTTGTATTTGATGTATTTTATGTGCTATAACTTCTCATGTGCGTTTCATGTCACTTGGAACCTGCATTTCACAAATATAGGTCCATATGCTTTTGCATATTGAAATTATGAAATGTTTTACAGAATCTTTATTTAGCTCCTGGATGCGAATAGCGGGCTCAAACTTGACTTTTTGTATGCTTCTGAATTTCTGACCATTGAAAATTGATCATGAGTTGACTTTTTAATTTAATAATTTTGTATTTACTAATAGTTTTTTGCTTTTAATAGGGTATGGAGAGAGGGAAGGAAGGAAGGAGGATAGGATATGCATGGGGACGTGTTAATCACGACATGAAGAAAATTTTATTTATTTGAAAATGCTTATGATAAACCTATGACATTTTGATACAAAACCTTGAAACCTTTTATTGCACCATTTCATAAGACATTATTGACTATTGAGAAAGAAAAATGTTATAAAAGTGACATATAACATATTGGTCCATAATAGATATTAGTGTATATTTATGTGTTGCAAACAAATTTTATTCTTATTGTACATTGATTAAATTTTTTGAGATGTAAAACAATTTAGTCGAGAAAATATTGTGCACTTATATTCTATGTGTTTCAGCCGAGCGAAGGAGCTTGTATTGTCAATAGTGAATCAAAGAAGCAGAAGCGAGGGAATTGGTGAGATGAATATGAGTGGCGGCAATGGCGGAATGATGGGACATCCCGGATTTGTTGAGATAATGATTCCCGGTCCTAAAGTTGGTTTAATAATTGGCAAAGGGGGAGAAACCATAAAACAACTTCAAGAAAAGTCTGGAGCTAAAATGGTTGTTATTCAGGAAGGGCCGTCTCAAGAACAAGAAAAACCGTTGAGGTGAGAACAAATAACTTTTTCTCAAGTAAGAATAATTCTGTTTTCTAATTTTCTCTATCAAAATAATATTGCATAATTATTTTAAGTCGATATAATTCCTTCTGTAGAATAACGGGAGACCCTCAAAAGGTCGAATATGCTAAGCAATTAGTCTATGAATTAATAGCCGAAAAAGAAATGCAAATGTTTCATAGAGGAGGAAGGAATACTGAGAGAGCAGGAAGTTATTCTAATGATAGTGGTGGTGGCTTTAATCACGGCCCTGCGAACAATGACGGAGTGGAGGTTAATAATGACCAAGTATATTTCTGTTTTTTATTTGTACTCCTCACAAACCAAAATACAATTAAGATTTTATTGAATCGAAGTTTATGCCATTACACACACGCACATCCTTTTCTTTTTAAACTTTATAAAATTATTACACAAAATTTAATTTAGGTACTCGTTCCAAGAGCCGCAGTTGGTGTTGTTATTGGTAAAGGCGGAGATATGATAAAAAAGATACAAGCGGAAAGCGGAGCTAAGGTTCAGTTTCAGCAAGGAAGAGAAGATGGGCCTGGCGATAGAAAATGTTTATTGTCGGGAAAGCATCAAGCTGTTGAACAGGCTCGTCAACGAATTCAGGAACTGATTGATAGTGTGATGGTATGCATTTTGTAAATTATAAATTTATTAAAATGTTCATTAAGCATAATATTATTCTTTATTCATCAACCGTAAAACACGCTTTGTTAATTTATAATTTTTTATTTCTAGAGGAGAGATGATGGTAGAACTGGGAATATGGGAGGAGGGAGAGGTGGTGGTCCAAGAGGTAACGGTTTTGGTGGCAATCGCAATCCAAACGAATATGGAAGTTGGGATAGACGACAAGGTGGACCCATGCAGGATAAAATCGAAACGACGTTTACTGTTCCGTCGTCTAAATGCGGAATTATAATCGGCAAAGGTATTATATATGTTACTTACAAATTTTTCAGATCTGTATGCATTATTAAAGCTTCCAGTTTTTATTTCTTTTTTATTCTCATGAAGCGATTATATACAATAATTTTGGGAGCTTTAAGTTACGCTTGCATTTAAATTTATTAACTTTTCTAGCACAATAAAGAAAGCGTTGTTCATTGAATTCTTATTTTAGGTGGTGAAACTATTAAACAAATCAATCAGCAGACAGGAGCACATTGTGAATTAGATAGACGGAATCAAAGTAATGAAAATGAAAAGATCTTTATTATTCGAGGCAATCCTGAGCAAGTTGAGCATGCTAAGAGAATATTTAGCGAAAAATTAGGAATGGTACGCTTAACATCGTTGTTTCCATAAGAAATTTTAAATTATATCGAACTTTTTATTTAAAAGGGTCCAGCTGGTTCTTCGTATGCTGGAGCTCAAGGAGCTGTTGGATATAATCCAAATTGGAATACAGGGTATCAAGCATGGCCCAGTCAGCCACAGTCTACCGACGGAAGTATGTATGACTTTATGATTTCTTCTAGCACATGCAAGGAGGTTTATTATATCTGTTATACGATAAATTTGCTTCGACAGGTAATGCTAATCCAGCTCCTGTACAAGTCAATCCACAAACTGGTCAGCCAGATTATAGTGCTCAATGGGCCGAATATTACCGGTCGCTAGGTATGCATAGAGAAGCAGAAATGATTGAGCAACAAGCGAAACAAGGAAAACAAGATCACAATCAACCAGGAGGTAAGAATCTTTATAAATTTGCATTACAAGGGAAATGCTTGCCGAAATATACATCGAAAAATCGATTAATTTGTACATCTATTTCAGGCAATTCGCAAAATCAATCTAATCCGGCGCCAACGGGTTCTGCTGGACCAAATCAGCAGCAACCGCAGCAACCGACTCAGCCGCAACAACAGGCAGGCGCTGCACAAAATGGCGGTCAAGCTGATTACAGCGTTCAATGGGCAGAATATTACAGGAGTATTGGAAAAATAAAGGAAGCTGAGGCGATAGAAGCTCAAATGAAGGCGGGCAAGGTATATTTCTCATCATACATAACTCTAATTATTATTTGTCGTTTATTGTACTTTAATATCGTGCAATATTACGCAGCTCGGAATGCAAGGGAATCAAATGGCCCAGCAGCAAATGCAGTCTCTTCAAGGACAATCAGCTGGTCCACCAGGTACTACACCTAACGCATTTCCTCAAGCTTACGGAAGTTATCCAGCAATGAATGCTGGCTCCACGCCAGGTGGTTATTACGCACCGAATGCTGGTTCGAATTCTCAACCACAGACGGGGCAGCAGAATCCTTCTTTTCCATCAGGCTATCAGAATTACCCCTATTCGCAGTCGAGCTCTGAGAATTAAGCTTCCACTCGAGAGAAAGATAAGCTGTAAGTAAACTTTAATATAATATTTATATATAAGCATATAAGAAATTGTATGAAATACAATTGAATACAATTTTAATAATATATGAACTCAAGTATTGTGGTAATTTTCGCTTCGACTTTTATGCGTAAAGCTTTAAGTTTTAATAATTAAAGATTTAAAAATACTCAATGTCGATATTGAAAATTAACGATTTTAAAAGTTCATACAATTTTTTTAACGCTTGTGGTTCTAATACTGTTATTATATTGAGCCAATATAAATTTCTTTGCTTTTATACATATACAATATATGGATGCAAAAAGGTGTAATTAATTTTTTCATTTATTCGTTTCATATTTATCTGAAAATTTTAATTATTTAATAGTTATTTGATTTATCTCTATAGTTTGTATGTATAATTGGCATTTCTTTTTATATTGACTTGATATTCTGACATATTATAAATCAATGGTGTAAGAATAAGGAAATGTTAGATATATCCATTGATGCTCATTGAATTCAGGGAATTTTCAGGGAATTCGAATTAAACTTTGCAAAAATATAAAATCTATGATCTATAATTTTGTGGTTCATGTGATGATTTAAATAACGATACATTTTACACCTTTGAAAAAAAAACCTGTTTCTTATATATGGGGTCACTTCTTTTACCGTAATTATTTGTTTATTTCAGATAGTTTTCAGATAGCTTTCCATCGGGATGCGGTTAATGCCTGCTATAATCTCCATATAACTTTTATCATAAATAGTTGAATGCTTCATAATCTTCATATATCTAAAAATAGTCACGAGAATCAATGATATTCTGTTTATACTATATAATACGTTTCATGTGTTTTTTTTATTATATATATACATATATATATATATATATATATACATATACTGTAGGATATCCATCGTTCTAAGTTTAAGTAACAAAAAGTATCAAACAAAAACTGTTTGATTGAAATTACTATGAATATTATAATATATCAATATGATGTCTATGTTCTACTTATACTATTGTATGTATTTTTGTTCCATAACATGTATTATTGTAATATAAGTTAAAGCTGGCAGGTGAAGCAGCGGGTCAGAAAGAGGAACGAGGGATCAGCATCTGTACCCATTTTATTGCATCCTCTCTCTCTCTCTCATTAAACTTGTTAAATTATATCCTTATAAATGCGTTGTTATGAACGGAAACTATATTATTATTATTAGTATTAGATCATTATTTATATTTCAACAAAATACTCATTTGAGACATTACTTGAGACCACTTGCTTTATTATAACTTCAAAACTTGACTATACGAAGTGCTGTAATTGGTACAGCTGCCATGTGTTTTCATTACCCATGAACGTTATTTTATCACCTGTGTATACGAAAGATATATGACAATTTATATGTGCACATGTCTTATTGCGCTGGTGTTAAATACAATTTTACTTTGGTTTGTTTTTACTTTCTCTCGTGAAATACCAATACTATTTTTAGATATTTGGAGCTGCCAGTTAGACAGGTTTACCCGTCCTACAATAAGTCATGGCTTGGGGATCTGCGGTTTAAAATGGTTCATTCAGCAACTATTCTACGTGTACTCCAAGGAATTAGGACCTGCAAACCGGAGATTAATTGGATGGCATGTAACACATAACGTGCTATTTATTAATGACATATATTAAATAATTGCTTAATCAGTATTACCTGCTTTTATACAATATGTATGACGGAGTAATGGCTTTTCATTTCTAAAAGTAATCAAGTATCGGAAATTTTAGCTAGTCATATGTAATATCAAATTTTTTGTATTTTTTGTTATATCAAGTTTCAAATTAATTTGTGTTCTTTAAGATGAAAACAAATACAGAATGTATCAAAGATGAAATACTTTGTTCTGAATTTATTTCATGGCAAATTTGGAGTTTAATACAGAAAAGACCATTATTTCTGCATAAGTTTGATTTTCAATATTAAATGAGATATTGAATATTGAAACAAGATTTCAAATACAGGCATTAACAAAATTCGAAGTTAAGACTATGTTGAAATAAAATTTAAAAACTAAAAAATAAAGAAATATTTGCATCTTATGTATTGGAATCTTTAATTTGTTTATTTCAAAATATATATTGATAGTTATAGTAAGTAAACTACTTTTGAAACATTCTGTATACGAACTAATTTATTCTAAGACTTGAAATATCTCTAAATGTATCGTATTCATCATTATATATGAATCGTCGTCGTATCACATGTATAGATTTGTATACATATAGCTTTTGCTATATGTATATACGTACAGATTTTCAAATACTTTGAAAAAGAAAGTTTAATCCTAATAATCTTCATATTATCTAACAATAATTTTGTTTTATGTTATGGTTGAAAGGCAAGTAATAAGTAAATGATTACCATGCTCCTTTTATGCAACTTAATATAATATGTAAAGTTATAAAATTGAAAACCAATTATATCATTAACGTTTAGTTGCAATAAAAAAATTTTTTAAATTACTCCTTTTTTTTATTATATAAAATCAGTATTGAATAATATCTTATACAATTATACTTTTAGAAAAAATAACAAAATTTCTAAAGAATATCTTTAAAATATTTTTGTATTTCAGCGATTTATGATTTATTTATAGGAATAAATTTATCTTTGTTACTTACGTTTGATATAAAAATATATTTTTTTGTGAACAATGTGTGATGATTTTTTTTATCTTGGTTGTATGTATATTTTCGACGTATTGAAACGTTTATTATGAATGAAACAATTTATGTTTCTATTTATTTGTGTTCTTTAGCATCATATTGAGAATATATTTTATATATTACATAAAAGCAAATAAAGCTTTTATATATTTTTCTTTATAACTACTTATATCTAGGAAATAGCACATATGTTGACTTTAACATTGAGAAGTGTGAATGACAATTTATATATATATATAGTGTAACAATAAAATAGGATTTTGAAGTATAGAATAATAGCTTTTTATTCCTTTACTTGTTATTTTAGTTCAACAGTTAATAATTACATTCTTTTTTTTACATTTACAGACTAAATGTATTACATGTATATGTGCAATAGAAAAAAAAATTATTTTTGATTTCTCATATCTTTCTATTATCTTATAAATTATATTTTTATGTTTTATTATAATGTCTTAATATATATTTTCCTTTATTTTTTTTTTATTTTTTTTTATTTTGAGTATACGAAAGTATACTCGATCTTATATTTTATTTGATGTATTTTCATATTTTATGTGTATAATTAATTGACATTGGCAAATGTTTCAGGAACAGGTGCAAACAGAAAGCTTTCCAGTTTCTCTGATCAAGAGAAGCAACTAGTAAATATGTAAGAAAGGTTCTCATTTTTTTAAGGAAAAATGCTGTGAGATACTATACATGTATAAGCCGATAAAATGCATATTTAATGCAAGGTTTGTAAAGATATATATATAAATATTCAAATTCTACGGATAATCAAATAATTAACAGAGTTCGCAGTTTTTCATAAAGTTTATTATCAGCGAAATTGCATGAATTTTGTTAATTATCTGATAAAAAGATGATAGTAGAGTAATAAACAGTGTAAGTATATCAATAATATCTTTGTATTCGTTTAAAATATATTAACGCAAAAAATACGAAATATAATCAGAAAAAGATAAAAATATCTCCATTTATTATTTTATCTGTTTAACTCTTATCGTTTTTAATATTGTATACATTATTGATAAGAGCGTTTCTTTTTACAATGATACAGAACAACATTTAATATAACGAAATTCTTTATTTGTGCATAAGGATTAATCATATAATGTTCTTCAATTTGAGCATACTTAGCATTAATTCGTAATACTTAAATGTTACGAAATGAGGTGATAAACATTTTTTTAGCAAGACTGCATTTTCACCCATTTATAAATATTATTCGCCAGCAAATAATATGCAATTAAAAAAGATTGGCGTTTAAAACTTTCTTTCCTAAGCTTTCATTTTATATAAGGAGCACAATTTAACATTTATGCTAATCATAACGGTTTTACATATCTGGTGGAGGCCCGTACATAGGATTTAATTGTTGTGTACAACGTATAAATGTCGCTCGTCGCGGTAATTCGCGCAGGCGCTCAGCTCCTGTATAAGTACAAGCGGATCTTAAGCCACCTAATATATCCAGCACGGTGTTTTCGACCAAACCTCTATAAGGCACTTCAACAGTCTTCCCCTCTGCAGATCTACATACATAGAAACAATATGTAGATAATTTTCCATTCGTTATCTTATCATTTGCAGCAATAACAGTGTATTGTCTTGCCTATAATCTGCAACTCCTCCCTTGTGCCTTTTCATAGCTGTACTAGAGGACATTCCATAAAAAAGTTTGTATTTCTTCCCATTTTTCTCTATAACTTCGCCTCCACACTCGTCGTGGCCCGCGAACATTCCACCTGCCATAACAAAGTCCGCACCGGCACCAAATGCTTTCGCCAAATCTCCGGGACAAGTACAGCCGCCATCCTGCAATAAACATTATACATTCCATATAGTAAATAGTAAACAGAGGTAAATATCTTCGTGTATAATTACATTCATATCACATTCCAATTACGATAGAAAATATAATATACAATAATAACAAATATTTACGGCGATAATATGCCCCTTCAAGCCATGCGCTGCGTCTGCACATTCAATTACGGCGCTCAATTGCGGATAGCCTACGCCGGTCTTCATTCGCGTTGTACATACAGAACCCGGACCGATTCCTACTTTAATTATGTCTGCTCCAGAAAGTATTAGCTCCTCCACCATTTCTCCTGTCACAACATTTCCTGCCTGTAGTGGTAGCAATTAATCTTTACGTTCGAGTACAAAGGTACAGATTAGTACCTAAATAGAAGAATCTCATGTGTTTCTATTTAAGCTAGAGAAACAATCGATTACTTACAATTATAGTGTGATTTGGATATCGCGCCCTCACTTTTCTCACATATTCGACGAAGTGTTGCGAATATCCGTTTGCAACATCTAAACATATGAATGACAATTCCGGGACAGTTTCCAAAATGCTTGTAAGTCGTTCATAATCTTCGTTTCCTGTTCCTGAGCTGGCTGCGACGTTTTTTATGCAATCAGGATTTAGTGTAGCAAAATTTTTCCATTCATCTGGGCTATAATATTTATGAACCGTAGTAAAAAGGCCATGCTAAAAGAATACATGTATAATAAGTATGACAATACATATTGTATCACTATGAATTCATTTATGTGATTTACATTATAAATAATAGTATATTAATAACATTTATGACTGTGTGACACCAATTTGACTTATATTTTAAATTGCAGATATATAGATACATAAATATGTGATAAAAAATATAAGTATTATTAAAAAAAACTCAATAAATCTTCAATAGAAAATATTCCAAAATATAAGTTATTAAATTATACTGTACCTTCGATAAAGCTTTCGCCATATCAAATGTTCCAACGGTATCCATATTAGAGGCCATTACAGGAATTCCTCTATATGTTTGTTTAGAATTGCGAAATGTGATTTCTCTAAAGAGATCTACCTAAAATGTGAAATATCAGGACATTAGAATTTATTAATATAAGACACATTAAAGAAGATAGCATATGTATTTGTACATTAAAAAAATGTTTTCCTCAATTATATAATACTTCTGAATGTCAAAATTGATATGATAGATGACTTTATTATTAATAATTAATAGTTTGTCATTTTCATATCTTTTAGTATTGCATATATTAAATTATAACATACTGTAAATCATCTAAAAGCGAGAGCGTGTCAATTTTTTCATGTCAGTGTAAAAGTTTGTGTAGCTGTGGTAGAGCACAGACTGAACTAACAAGAAATAGCATATTCAAGAAAATTAAGATAAGAAGAGAAATGTTATATTGATATATAAGTCTGAGAAATTTAACCAGCAATTATGTAAACGTTTGAAAGATACAATAAATAAGTCAAAGTCACTACAAGAGTTGAGACATTGTAATCCCAA